TGCAAGAGACCAGCGGTGATACAGTAGTAGTAGGTCACACTATGCACGATCCAGAAAAAATTCCTGTGGTACCACTTTCAAATTAAAATGTAAGAACAGTAAATGTGTGTTTGTAACAAACTTCAAGTTTTTGCTACCATAAAAGAGATTCATATGCCTGCACAGGGAATAGTTCTTCCCATTTTTCATAGTAACATGTCTAATATTATAATGAATATTTAGGAGTCCAATACAATACAATGTCAAACAGGTAAGCAGTAACTGTAATGTTATACACTTAAAAACACTGCAATATTATTATTATTATTCCACTAACAGCACTGTCTATTGTTGTTTCTACATCTTGTATGGAAATGCCAGCTTTCAACGAATTTTTTTATTAATAAGACAAAGAATATTTATTCAATCCCTACTGATTAAGCAGATCAGTGTATTTATGTTGCAAAGCTAAGAAATGAAGAACTATACAAGTTAAGCTTTTTGGATTTAAAAAAAAATTGTATACCCTTAAATGTTTGTCATCAAGTTTTCTTTCTGAAGTTTGAATGACAGCAGACTTCTCGAGCAAATAATCATAACAGAATTTTTCCACTAATTCTGTTTAATTAAATCCCTACATAGCTTTTACTCCTTTAAAAAAAACTATTATCCACCACTGAATTATTTTCATTTGAATTGTCATTGGATCTGTAGACTGCAATAAATTAACTGAAATCAACTGGAACTATGGCTGACAAAAATATTTCTGTAAATATTTTACTGACATTTTATTACAAAATATTTTGGTTTATATCAGTGTATGACTTAAATTTGAAATCAGGGTCCCAAATCAATAGGCTAAACAAAGTATTTTTGTATGGTGCATGTCTAACCATTAATATGCATCATCTTTACCTCTCATGAATGTGATTATAGCAAAAGGATTGACTATTTCCTAAGCTCTACAGTCAGTATAATTTTATGTATATAATCTCCAACAAAATATTTGCTGTTGAAAGAACTGCAGAAACATGTTTTAAAGTCTGAGTTTTGATTCTCAAGAGTGGTTCCACTTTAGTAAACAAATGAATACGCATATAAATTGTGTAACATTTACCCAAGGCATTTTTTTTTTCCTTTCCAAGAGTGAGCTTTTGGAACATATGAAGCTGTGCAATAACTTAACACAAATATACTTACTGTAGGATTATTTAAATTAATTGTTTTACTTTTCTTAAAGACTCCACCTTGCAAAAAAAATTTACTACCCTGTTCTCCTGTGCTGATGTGGAATAACAACCATTTCAACTGGACTCCACAAGACCATAGCAGTCCAACCATGACTTCTGTGAAAGACTGAAGCCTTAGGAAATAAGTATAGCTGAAATTATTCACTTTACCTTTCAGCCTCTTCAAGTAAACTGGAACATCACTTTTAATACTTTTCGAATCCTCCTCTGTTGCTTCCCATATCATTCTAGGGGGATTGTTTTGTGCTAGCCAGTCAGCTACTTTGCTTTCAGCAGCCATCATCACAGTTTGAAGCCCAGGAAGGTCCTGACCACCAGGAGAAGACTTCTTTGTCTTGTGGCGTTGATCAGAAGTGAATTTTGTCACATGATCTTTGATAGTTACTTTTCCTGGAGTGGTGTCATCAAATTCAATAGTAAATGAAGCATGCCCTGCACCTGCTGCATGGGAGATTTGGGTGTCTTTTGTTGGAATCTCATGAATAGTGCTCTCCGCTATTTGTGAAGGTTGTTGGAATTCTTTGGTAGGAATTTCAAAGTAACTTGGCTCCCTACAGAAAGGATAAAGTTCTTCTTCATTTGCAGCTGAAGATTTCTCATCAACATGCTTGGCATCTGTGCTGCATCCTATCAAGAAAAATAAAAAATAGGTTTCACAGTACTGGGAAACTTCAGGGTCTCCAAGGAATTTCAGAATTCCTATGAAGGCCACTTGAGTAATTCCTGGAAAACAGCACAAATCTGTGCAGAAGACTGAGCAAAGTACTTCTGGAACTGTAAGCTGTTTTTGCAACAGGAAAATGTCATTGAAGACCGGACAGCCATGACTGAAGCATGTCAAACTGACAGAAAGTTATCTTAGAATTTGTCAAAGAAAATGTGTACTCCATCAGATTTTTGGATGACGCAAGGAGAGAGTTATTTATAGCATGTTAGAAAATAGTTCAAAAATCATAAGAGTTAATATTTTGAAAAAAAATATTGCTATTCTGAGCTAACTGGAAATCATCAAAAAGCAACTGACTAGATTTATGGAACATGTGTCCCTAATTAGATGGGTGAGGTATGACTTCATTTCCTAAAGCTCTACAGTCAGTTGAAATTTTCTTAGCAAGACTGTTAGGAAAAATAATTCAAACATGAAGGCAAGAAAAAAAATGAGCTCCCATGTGAAAGTTAAAACAAAGAACAAGAACAAACATACATTTTCTATATTTTTACTGAAGTTAAAACCATGAATTATAAACTAAATTCCTACTGATGTGTGCCCCTATTCCACCGAACACATTTTGTAAAGCACAGAAAAAAGCAGTCTTGAAATTATAGCAGCCAAAAGAATGCAGGAATTCAATAAATTTTATGCTTTTGAGCGAAGCAAAGAAGCAAAGAAGTGGGTGAGTAGGATGGGAAATGAGTGTCCCACTGCACATCCTGAAAGAATGTTAATGCTGTCATGTGGCTGCTAGCAAAGCAATAAGTATCCTCTTAGGAAACTAGGTTTACATGCATTTGGCAAAAGAGATATACCTGCCAAAATATTTGATGTAAAGATGCACCATAAGCAACAGATATTCATCTAAGAGTTAATAGCAGCAAGCCAGACTCCAAACAGCATAAATTAAATGGTATACACTTTAGACATGATTCATATTAAGATTTGTTTAAAAGGATTTTAGGACACAGAGTAAAATACCCAAATTCTATTAATATGTCTTCATGTGGCTGAAAATAGATAAATTGTATCAACCTACATTAATTACATTTGCACCTGAAATCTGTTATTTAGCCTATAAGATCGCGAAGTAAAAAAGGTACATAGAAATGAATTATAAATACTTCTTGCTATTCTTCAGGAAAGGTTTTTGAGAAGTCTTGATTTATTTTCAGATGAAGAAACCAAAGAAAGTAGGATGAATGATCTCATCCTGGATATATGGACTACTATAAGAGTAATAATAAGGAAGGATGAGAGGATTATTGTACATCCTTCCCTTATTCTCATCCTTAGAATCTAACAGAATAAAATCTCTTAAAACAATTTATATGCCTGGAACTAAATTATTTTCTTTAGTAAGTTGCTTTCTGCAGTAATTTTTGTTCCTATTTTAAGAATACAAACGAGCTCAGATCAAAAGTAAAATTCTTCTCCTGACTTTCATATCAAGATACCATTTCTTATATAAAGTGAGATCTTTAAAGTATCCTGAAAAAAATACTGGAATTATGAAATGTGATCTGAATACTTGTTTTTAAGACTTGGAGTCAATTTAATTCAAACCTAAATTACAACGAAGATTGAATTTATCGCAAAGAATTTATGTAAAGAAAAAAGTATGAAGATTAATTTTTAAAAATTCACAAATTTCCCATAAAAGCCAACAAAAGATTCCTAATAAAACAAGTAATTTTTTAAAAAAGCGCAACAAGCAATTTAATTAAGTATTCTAGCTAAAAATAGGATTTTTTTCCAAACTAAAGCATTTGCAATCTTATGTAAGAAGGTGAGATTTTCTATAATTAAGAACCACAAGAAAACAATACAACAGTTTCCATCTGCCATGTTCCACTGTAGTAAAAGCAAAAAAGAAAATGAAAGACAAAATTTCATGTTGATGCAGATCTCCTTTGGGGGAATTCTCCAACTGTGTGCTTTTAAAATGAAATTAGAAAATTGCTGGATCTGTAGAGATCAAAAGATATAAAAGTCTGTAAAAAAAAAAAAAAAAACCCTCACCTTTTGTCATCATAATGCCATAACGTAATCCACACTGCCGAAGTAATCTGTGCATTAGGAAAATGTACAAAGTACTGAAAGCTAACTACATAAATGTTTAACACTGTAAGTTATTGTCGCAATAATTTTTCAGCTAAACAGGAAGGAACTACAAAAATGCATTTGTAAATCGATTATGTCATAGTGGTGGATTGGGCTGGGGAGAGGAAAACACCAGACTGGTGTGGGAAGTGCAAGAAAATGCAGAGGAAGGAAGCAATATCCTGCGCTTGCATCAGAGGAGCACAAAGGGGAAAATGGTTGGTGCTTAGTGCTGATGAGATATGTGAATAAGGCTAGATGGTGGGAAAAGTTGAGGCTGAAGTCACATGAATTTCATGTGCAAGGAGCCTGGATTGGGAAACAGCCTATCTTGGGACATAGGGCCTGAAAGTGTGAGAGATGGCATGGAGGACTGTGAGCAGTAATATAAGAGGGAAGAAGTAGGAGTCAAAGGTAAATTACCTGGTAGCAGAGGGTAGACAATAAAGTGGTGTAAATGGAGATGAAGAGCTTCAGAAACTCTGAGCTAGGAAACAGAACCAGGCAGCAGGTTCTGGGAGGCAAACAGGGAAGCAAGCAGTGTTGCAGTTGCCACAGGGATATTGTGTGATTGCAAATGGAATCATGAGAGTTCGGTGTAGAGTGAGTCTGCGTAATCATGGCTGGGCAGAGAGGCTGTCCATGAGACACTTGCTTCACTAAGTGGTGGTATACACTGAGGCTATGACTAAACTACACAGATAAATCAGAAAAAGAAATGCAATTCGCAGTATGCAAATTACGTTTCTTTTTCCAATTTACTTCCGAAAATGGCTTTTCCAAAATTTGGCCCATCTACATGGGGCCAAATTTCAGAAAAAAAAACCTTTTTTGGAACATCTTTTCTTCCTTGTAAAACGAGGTTTACAGGGATGCTGATAAAATGTGTCCGCTTTTCCAACTTTTTTTCGGAAAAGCGGACATGTTCCCTGGAAAAGCTTTGCAGTCTAGATGTATCCTGAGTCTGGAGAATATTTAGCCTAATACTTTCTCTCATTGAAAATAAATGAGCATGAATTCACAACTTTGGTAAAAAAAAATGGCAACACTCTGTGCCATCACTGGCACCACAGTTTTATAGCCGTGGGTTTTTTTGTTTTCTTTTATTGTTTAGGGTTTTTCTGAACACACACAAGTAATCATGAGGCCCTAAAATTCTATTTGTCCTGCAGGACAAGAATGTATATTATACGTATCCATTGTTATTGAATAGAATTAATCTGCAGGCCTGCAGGACTGGAAATTTTTAAAAGCACTAGTACTGCACTTCTGAAAAAACATGTAATAGCTCTAGGAAACTATTTCCACAATATTCAGGTTATTTAATATTCAAAAATTCTCTTCTGTATTTTTCCAGGTATGATTTAACTACTCAGAGATGAACTGATGTTGCATAGATTTAAAAAATATATTTCAGCAAAAGTAGAATAGAAAAAGATCTAGTTATTGTCCTTTCATCTATTTTAGCAGACCCCTATTGGACAAAATAATAACTGGTAATTTCCATGTTCTCTTTTAAATGACAAAATTGCTCCATCAATCCTGATGCTAATGTTAGAGGCAGATAAATCTGAAAGCATAAATCAGACGAGAACAGGAGATTTATATGCCAATAAAATAATCCAGAATTTTTGAAAAGTCTTGTTAGCCACTATTTGAAAAGAAATGAGACAGTTTTTCAGAGATAGAAGCTAAGGTGTACCAATATTAGTATTGAATGGAATTCCATTCTTTGAATCTCTTACTCTGTTTTTGACCGTTTCTGATTTCTTTCCAGCCTATTGTGTACATTCAGGGGCGGGGACTTGGATGGAAGAAGTAGGGCTGAAGACAGCCAGCCCTCAGAGGCATCTGGACAGTAACCGTCCCCTCTTCTCTGGACCCTCGCCTCCAGCACCCCTCTGAGAAGCCTGACATACACTGCGGACATAGCAGCAGTGGTGGCTGAAAATCCCAGGCCCTTTTGAATTGCCAAGCCCCAAGACAGTTGTCCTCCTTGCTTCCGCTGTAGGTGGGGCTGATTTCCTCTTTCTTTCCCTTTAATGGCCCTTTTGCTTTTTCATAGTTCACTGTTTTCTAATGACTTTGTCGTGTATTTCCCATGAGGTCCAGAAAAATCTAATAATTTATCTCTATGAAACACAAATACCGTCCCAAATTTAAATGTTAAAGCAACTTGTTTTTTTTAAACAAATGTGTCACATTGCTCTCTAAAAGAAATGTTTCCGTTTTGTATGTCACATTTCACGAGTAACAAGCTAATTGAAAATTACAAAAAGGATTAGAAGTTATCTTTTCTCATCTAAATATTTTTAAAGATGCCAATTCTACATGCCTCCTGCGACACAATGTGCATGTTCATTTCCACAGCTGTGTATAAACTAATATGAATTATCCACACTCATTTTAGGTCCAAATACATCACAATATTTAAATATACACTAACATGTTTTGCTGAATTCATGCCTTCATGTTTAATTTTAAGTATAACCCTGCTCTCTTTTTAATGTATCTTTCAGGGATTTAACATTCTACTGTTGCCTTACAATGGTAGTACTTTATCATCTGCAAATAAACATTATGTATCAAAAGTTATCCACTGTTGGAATTCTGTAATATTATTGTTCCCTATCACAAAAAGAACTGTCTGAATAAATTAAATAATTTTCTCTTCCAAGCCTTAAATTGAATTTTAAAATTAAAGTTTATGGTCTGCTCCCCCTACATATTTAGAGAATCAGATTTAATACAAGGTCTCAAATTTTGGGTTGGGACCTCAAAATGGGTTGTGACACTGTTTTAAGAGGGTTGCCAGGGTTGGCATTGTTAGACTTGTTGGGGCCTAAGCCCAATTCCCACCACCCAGGGCCAAACCTGAAAACCAAGCCTATCCTGCCTCCCCTGAGGTCAATGCCCTGAGTAACAAGGTTAGGCTACAGGTCTCTTATCCAGGTCTAAAGTCCTTGGGCTTTGCTCTTCCCACCTCTCCTCCCACCTCTCCCCAGAGCAGTGGGAATAAGGCAGGTTCAGGCCTCCTGGGATTGTGCAGTAATTTTTGTTGTTAGAATGGAGTCACGGTGTAATAAAGTTTGCAAAACCCTAGATTAGAAGAAATAATGATGCCAAATTCTACAGCTATTAATGAGACCACAAATAACTTTTTTCAGGGACATTGGGGAGTGGGCAAAGTAAAAAGGGATTATGAGACGAGTTAAATCTCAGTATACTTACTAGTAACAGAGAAAGACAGAGAAAATGATCATACTTTGAATTTAGCTCAAAAGCAGCAGTATTGGGTAGTGTATGATGCCATAGCACAGGTATACATGCAGACATTCATCTCTGTAACATTTAATTGATCAACAGTTCATAAATTATATCGTTATATTTCTTGAAAAAAGCACAGAATGCCTTTTTTTAAAAAATTGAATCCATTGTGTTTGCTTTGTTTGAGCTGTGTTTGTTACATAGACTTTCCATTAAGGTTGAAAGACAGTAACGCCAAAATAATCTCATTAACGTGAGACTTTAAAGGTTAATTTTACAGAGTTGATTATTTTTACAGGGCAATAAATCTATCATATCAATCTCCTCATTAAACCATGCCCCATCTATTATAATGTATACTTTACCTTCTAGTCAGATAACTTTTTTTTTCAAGTTGAAGTCTGATGCACTCTTAATTTATCAAAATGTTTGGATTTAGATTATTGAAACAAAAGTTTGAAGAATTATACAAATACTAGAACCTGCAATTTACTTGTTTTAGACCAATGGTCCCCAAACTGTGGGGCACATACTCTTAGGGGGACATGAAAGAATTTTATAGGGGGACAGGCGTGGCAAGCCCTGGGCCAGCCCCCACTGGGGGTGGGAAGGAAGCAGCATCAGCCACATTCTGATCCACAGCTCTCCTCCTGGCCTTGTCCCTGGGCATGTCCCAGCCCACTTTAACCACTGTCCCACTTCAAGCCCCAGCTCCAGGAGAGTGGGGAGGTAGACCTGTTAAGGTAGAGGGCATGAGCAAAAGAGTCTGGGGACCACTGTCCTAGATAGTCTTGCATTAAGAAGGCTGTTTCAAATATCTTTAATGTTTGTGTTAAGTAGCTGAGATAACATAATGGTTTACTATATGAAAAAAGCAAGTTACATTACATCTACTATTCCAGCTCAGTGTTATACTACAGAGTGGGTCTAAATATTGCAAGAACATTCAAGGAGATCTGAAATTTCACAGGTGTTCCAATTATAATAAATAATGTTTCATCACACATGAATTGTTTTTCCAGTTTCTGCCTGAATTTACCTATGCAACATGTCTAGACACAAAGAAACTATATGCAGGTCTGTTAAAAAGTAACAAAAACAAGTTTAATGGAAGGATGAAAAGTTTAGGAGGAGCAAGTCTATAAAATTATGTGCCAGTTGGGTGGTCCAAAAAGGCTATGTAATAATTTAGCAGATATTCAAGTGTGTGAAAATATTCTGTATCTTTTGAACACTTCTCCAGCAAACACTAATGTCACAGTAAAGCTGATTTTCCGGGAGAGGAGAGCCCACCAAGACATACCACATAGAACAAAATTGTTTGTCCTTTACATGCCAGAAGACAACAGGATCCAAGGGACATGAATTAATCACGTCACAACTTTACTAACTTTACTTGTTAAATCAAACTATTCAGCAATAATTAGTATGATACAGGCCAAGCTTATTTCCAATTGGTAAAGGACTGCCACCGGCCTGCTGTTCTCTCCACAGTGGATTCCTAGCCTGTTGCTGGGACCTCACTACTCTCCCTTCTTGTGAGGACTGAACATTTAGAGAAAGAGGGTTGGTCTCCTTGTAGAACCAAACTTTAGGAGCCTGTTCTCTGTTCCTAAGCATCTTTAGGAATGGTCCTTTCTAAAGGTTACTTCACATTCCAGTTTATCATGGAACTAAACCCTAAGAAACAAATACCTGCATCGAACACCTGCCACCTACGAAATTATGACAGTTTGAACCTTACCTTCTGAGTGGGTCACTAGGCAATCTGCAGTGCTGGAAAAATCCTCCCAAGAAAGCCAACTACCCACAATGCCCCCAGGAGACCAAACCCAGTACTAAACTAATTCCAGGTATGGGAGAGAAGGACTGGCCAATCCAGAAAAGAGAGAGGATTCAGGCTGGAAAGCCCGGGCTTATACATACTTGCCCATGTGTGCAGAGGCCAATGGTTTACCTGACCCCTAGCCATTCCCACCCACCAACTCAGTTGATGTGCTCCTCCTCACCTGCTAGCCAAGTTCCTCCCAACCTCAGAGGGAGAGGTGAAATTTAAAGGAGCCACATTCCATTTCTTCCCACCAGTCCATCCCTCCAAGATGGCCTTCTGCATGACATGTACACTCAGGCATTCTGCTAATACTGACAAACATTGTACATCAGATTCAGAGACGTTGGAATAAAGAGGCAGAGTCTGAAAGGCTACTGATAACCTGAAGTGACTTTAGAAAATAAAATCTGTTTTCTGTGTGTGGGATATTAAAGTTCTATATTATTGTAATTTGAATTCTTTAAGGGAGAGGAACCAAAAGTTCAATTTTCACCAATAAAGGGTTTCCTCTGTTTATTCTGTGGGGCTTTTTTGTGTTTTTTGTTTTGTTTTTGCTTGTTTGTTTTTTGCTTCAATGTTCTTGGTACAACTTTTTTCACATAAGTCTGTTGACTATATTCTTCAGTCACAAGCTTAATTCTATTCTTTCTTAGAAGTAGTAACCCATAGATTTTATAAAATAAACTATTTGAACTTTTTTTTTAGTTAATCTCTCTTACAATGATTTTGTCTGGAGCAGGTGCCTTCACGATTAAACAACGAAAGAATAGGTACTTCAAGATAAAGTGGAACTATTTTACCCAGTTAAATGATGAACATTATTTATTTGACAGTGAGCCTTTGCTTAATGCCCAAATGCTTTTTTAAAACTTTGTATCAAAATTAAGTCTAAACTTGCCATTCTTCAATTTGTAAATTACCACAAATGAGCACAGTAAACAACTTTTTCGGATCTCTATTCGTTTTTGAAGCTCTTCTCTTGCACAAAAAAAACCCTTTCTTTTTCTTTACCTTCTATTGCTAAGGCAGGTTTTGATTTCACTGACCAGTTGGTTTAATCAGAGATTGGCTTCTCTTATCTGCTTCTCTTCAAATTATGAGAACACTGTAAACTACTCTTCTCCTTCACAAAGTACTTTGCTATTATGACAAAAATCAATGCTAACATATGAATAAAATAAAACAACAAGTTGCACATCATTCTGGAGTACTGTTATATCTCAAGTGAGATCTTGAAGGAGAAAAGAGCTATGATGCTGAAGCTCACTTATTTCTACTTGCCTTCACAGATAGCAACAGACTTTTTTCCTTAGCCAGCCCCACAAATCATACAATTTTTCTCATGGTGAGGAGAATGAAGACAGAACCATCTTAGACAGGTTTCAGTTCACGAGTTTCTCTTCGGAAGGCAGTCAATGATTTTCTGTTCTCATAACAATCACTATGTTCACAGAACAAAGCCTTGCAAAGTTCAGGGAATTCTATTTGTCTCTAGCTCGGGAAGGAGATCAAGGAGTGAGAATGCTGCACAAATGACATCTTCAGATAAAGTATTTTTAAATCAAAATGAAGCACAGGATGATGAACTTGAGAGCGAGTTATGTATGACTAGTGGAAATGGAAAGTTCTATTTACATGTACAACAGATGAATCAATATCACTACAAGGATTTTTCTTGAAAATATAACACAATAAATATATGCACTTTTTCTGAATAAATATAGACTAACATTAATGCTGATGAACCATTAAGGAATTACAGTAGGACAGGATGCAGTAAGAAAAAAATCTTGTACTGCAGGCATTCGCACATGAAAACAATACAGAACCTCTAATTTTCCTCAGTCAGAGACAGAGATTTGGTGACAAAGTTTACTACAATGCTTAATTTTTATTATACCAAATGACAGATGTGGATTTAATCACTATTGGATATATACTAGTTCAGAAGAATGACTTTATTCACTATATCTATTAGTAAGATACTATAGTGTGTGCAAAGTGATTTAGGTAACAAACTCTGATTAGCTTATTGCATGTTCTGTTTCCTCAGAGACTAGTACTCAGAAAAGTACAGTTGTATTATTGTTGAACTGTTATTTATGAACAATTTTTTTACTAGCCAAACCCTTGCTTTTATCACTGAATAAGCAATCCAGAAACATGTCTGATAAACAAAAAAAACCTTATTTACTGTAATTTGGATTAAATACATGGTGCATATTACAAGGAATCAAATAGTTAAAGCTATGTCTGGGTTTAGCTTGGTAATAAAGAGGGAGAAGATGAGAAATTTCTCAAGAAGTCAGAATCTCCAAAGTGTATTTACATCTTTTTTCTTCATATTAGCACAGCTTTATTAAATATTTGGAGAATAACTATGCCCATTGATAACAGTTGAAGAGGATGAAAGACGGCATTCACAAAAAATAAAAGGTCAATAGAGAAAGGCAACTCTGCAACATGTAGTTCAGATGCTAGGGAAGCAATAGTATTTAACAGTGATAAAATAACATACACAATTGATTAATAATCATTAATCTCAAAAACGTTATTTTAATTATATACATTTGTGAGATGTAGCATTTTTCAGAGCTAGTTACTTAGTAAAAAGCAAAAAAGCCTACAAGTTGAATTTTTTTCCTGAACAATCTCACCTGAAGCTCCCGTTTCATGTATTTTTTCTTCATGTTTGCCATCTTGTTTGCAACCATTTTCGTCATCAGCCTCATCCTCACCCCACCAGGATGGCTGGCCATACAAAGGTGTACCACGAGGCATGGCAGAAAGATCTATAGAAGTATTCGAAAGCCAAAGAAATTACTTCACCATTTACTTCACGTAAGATATTTAGATATATCTTCTGATGGATCTTGTATGTTGAAAGTTAAAGTGATTTGACCACCTGTGTTTCCTCTAATACAAAACAAATTCAAAGTCTAGACAAATGAGCTCTACGCTAAATATAAAAGCTTACTAACGAACTGACCAAAACTGCTTGCTTGGTTAGGCATTTATGCAAATTCAGGTGACTTACATCTAGCTGCTATTGCACAGTATTTTTAAATATTTATTTTCTGCTTTCATTTAAAAGACAAATCATCTCACTAAGAGCACACTATCTAAAACTGTATGCTACTAGCTTTGTGAAATTATTCTTTTACTTACACTGACCTTTCACTGGAATACCTATCATGTGGAAATCTGATCAAATTTTGTAATGCTGCCAAGGTTTCAATAGCTGACAGTTACTAAAGAACACCAAAACATAAACACTTATACAACAGCTAGATCGCAATGATATTTTTAAAGCTATATTAAACTAAAAAAGAAACTATAAAAACCCTAAATCTATTTTTTTCTTATACTATACACAGTATAAGTGTCTGAATAGAAAAGGGTTAAGTAAGAAATTAGATATGAAATAGTTATTCCACCTCCATGACTAAGCAGTCAGTTGATCTCTGAGCTGCTCTCTGTATAAAGAAGAGTTTATATTCTTAAGACAATACTGCACCCACCTCAGATTTAGTTATTTTAATATACAGATGTTCTAACAGACTAGATATCAACTTCTTTCACATTGTGTTTTAATATCAGGTGCCTCAGTGACTGGGTATATGCGCTTTCTGTTGCAAAAACTGTTCTGTTTCTTTTTTTTGAATCCACAAATTTCTACTATTTTATTAGACATTTTTGTTTGGAGAACAAAAATAGAGAATTTGAAAGTAATTAATTGTTTTGGCAACAATATGCAGTATTTACTTGCTAGGAAATAAAGACTATTTGCGAACATCTACCCTGTGAGCAAATAATGGTTTGCTCGACAGCGCTCAAAGAGTTAATCTTCACCCACAAGTAGACAGCTGCTTCAAAATGTTTAATGTAATTGAAAATACCTATATATGTAATTATTTTCTTCAAAAACAATGTTCTTCATTGTTATAGAGTCTTGAAGTTAAAAAAAAAACAGCTACAAACAACAGAGTTTATGTTAATGTGTTTAACTGCATGAATAATAGCAAAACACTTACATATATAACAAGTGGCTAACCAGAAAATCAATATATCAATACACTTCTGAGTACATCTGGGCACATTTTTCCAAATAGTTTATTCAATAAAAATGAAAATTTTTTTTCAAGGTGTTTCAGATAAACACTTATATGAACAAAAAAATGTGTGCGTCCCTTTAGCCCAATGGTTAGGACACTTGCTTGGGATACGAGAAACCCAGGCTTGAATTCTCACTTTAGAACAGTTACCTAAATTATGATCTTCCCCTTAAAGCATCCTACCTTAATGCTGAGGTGGGTTACTCTCAGTCTCTCCTATTAACTATGTTCCATTTTGTATAATGTAGTCACTGGAGTAGGGGATGTGCACCCAGGCCTCTCTTCTAGCATGCAAGTGCCCTAACCACTAAACTATAGGTTGGTTTGCTCTCAGTTGCTCATACCTTAGTTCTTCCAACTTTGCAAAAATATATAAATATTGGAGGCGGGAAAGGGTGGGGAAGAGAAAAAGAGAAGAAGAACAACTCTATAGCATGTTAATTAAAGTGCGTACTTGGAAGGTAGGAGATGTAGGTTCAAATCCCTCTTCTGAATGAGGCAGAGAGAAGACTTGAACCCACATCTCCTACCTCTCAGATGAGCATACATTCTCACTGTAGTTTTCTTTAATGTTTGCACCACACTTATCACAATGGTGTCCTGATTCATTAGCAAAGTCCCTAAGTGTTACAGAAATGTAAATAATATTAATATGAACAGAAAAAGATTACTGAAAAATATCCATGTTAACCGAAAAGTCTCATTAGTGAATAAATTAAAATGCTACAAATAAAATGTTCACAAAAGTTTGCACTGAGTGTGATGGCTGTGTGCAAGGAAAGATCTGGAAATTCAGGAAACTCTTAGGTGTGTGTGTGTGTGTGTGTGTGTGTGTGTGTGTGTGTGTGAGAGCATTTAAAAATCTCTTGCAGCATGTTTACAATAACCGCCAAAATTTCCGAGGAAAGAGAAAAATTGCCTTCTCTAATTAGACATTGCATTGCTACAAAAATTAATCTCACCCATAGATTTTTCTTCAGACTTCAGTGCTTCTATAGCTTTGTGATGCACTTCACTTATGGCATCTGGTACCTTTGGATCTGCACCTGTGGAACTGGCTGGTTTTGATCCTTCAGCCTCTGAGGATTTTTGGGATAACTGGAGTTGACTTGTAAATTTTTCATGCTACACAACATTTAAGAAAAAAGAAAAAGATTTCACATCTAAAATAAACTACATAAACTGTAGTTATACATATAAAGAGAAGGGCAGAACAAAGGTATGACAGATGAGAGATTTGGGAAGCATCGGGACTTTATACTGAAATGTGCCAAATAGGTATGGACTTCTGCAACGTTAGATGTTCAATGTCCATTTAGCATCCTGCCTCGGTGAATTGGTTTTCTGGAAGGTTAATGACAAATCCTCAGTGCCAGTTATGCAACAATTCAGCCTTTGAAGCTTTTCTCCCTGAGGAGAAGAACACTGACTTGTGTTACTTGTTACAATTAGCCAGAGATCAAATGCTCAAATTGTATAAAGGAACAGCTAAACTGCTCCAGGTTGTTCTTGCTCTTCATCTGAAACATGAGGTGAAGTTGTAAACCAGGAGAGAAAACCCAACGGTCGGAATTTCAGACACTGAAATCTAACAGAATCAAATGCTGGAGGTAGAGAGACTATTAAGCTTATACGACAAGGAGTCTTGTAGCACCTTATAGACCAATAGATGTCCTGGAGCAAAAACTTTTGTGGGCAAAGACCCACTTCGTCAGATGCATGTAGTGGAAATTTCCAGAGGCAGGTATAAATATGCAGGTAAGAATCAGGCTAGAGATAAGGAGGTAAATTCAACCAGGGAGGATGAGGCCCACTTCTAGCAGCTCATCTGAAGGTGCTACAGGACTCCTTGTCGCTTTTGCAGATCCAGATTAATATGGCTACCCCTCTGATATTAAGCTTATAGCATTCATGTAGCTCTTTTGGGGGTTTGGGGATATTTTTTGTTTGTTTCTTTGCTTTTGATGTTTTCTCTTTGATGCTTATGATTCAAGAGAAAATGTGCTTTGTTTTATGAAGGCTGGTTGATAACTGATCTGCGCTGCTGTAATCTAACCCATGAAAAAAGAATGAACCATAGATGCTGGACCCCAATCTGACCGGCTGGGGAAATCACAGTAAGATGCAGAGAGACTGCAAAACTAAAATCTGGCCTTGAGAGAAACATCCAAGACTCCATGTGGTAAAGGTGATTGCTAGGAAGCCTAAACCTTTAGTGGGTGCCTTTGAGAAGGCTAAGGGTGAGGAAGGGAGGATCAAAGACATAGATAACACTTAAACTATGACAGTAGTGATTGATATTATTACCTTAAGAGCTTCTTCAGGGACTCTCATTTCACCTCTGACTACAGTAAAAAGATTAGTATGTATGAAATGATAAGGAAAAAGTTTCACAGCCCCAGAAAAAATTAAACTTCAGACAGAAATAATCTTATTTCAAGTTGAGCCACAGCGAATACATGAGATTTTTCTGTAAAGTGGAATAAACATAACTTAATAGAATGAAAAAACTAAAAATATCAGAATATTAGAAATCTGGTAAGTTCTTACTTATAAAAGCTGCCTTAAACCTGGACAATCTCATACAGCTTCTAAAAAACCAAGAGAATATTATAATATAGTCTCATATTATTAAGATCTGTTTTCAAATATTTTACACTTGTGCTCAATATATTATGAAGTATATTTTCAAATTAAACACATTGTTATTCATTACTTGTGATATAGTACAATGTGCCAGAGGTAGTGTGCATCTTGTAAATACAGTAGTACAAAAATGGCAAGTCCCTACTATGAAGTTTATAAATTAGGCATTCAACAAGGGATGACAACAAACAAAGGTTAGAAAGAAACCCCAAATCTTTAAATGTTAATTTTCATCTCTATTATGGATTGGCTAGTCATTACAGTAGAGGCCAGATCTGTGGAACTTATTACTCAAAGAAAAAAGAAGTTACTCGCCCTGTGATGTAACAATTGTTCTTCGAGATGTGCCCCGTGGGTGCTCCACTCTAGGTGTCGGATCCCGTCCTGGTGCCGCGGCTCGGGGACTTTTCATAGCCATGCTCCGTCGGCTCACGCATGCGTGCTTCCCCAGGATAGCGTTTGCGCCTTTGATCATCCGCGTGTGAGCCGGCAACCATCAGTTCCTCTCACCCGCTCAGCTGGAAGAAAAAAATAAAGAACAATTCCGGAGCGGGGAGGAAGGGCGGGTCATGGAGCACCCACGGGGCACATCTCGAAGAACAATTGTTACTTCACAGGGTGAGTAACTTTTTTCTTCTTCGAGTGGCCCTGTGGGTGCTCCACTCTAGGTGACTCCGGAGCAGTCTCCAGAACAGAATTAGAGTGCTCTGGAATCAAGACTACCAGCACGATTAAGTACTGCTGTAGCCACAGAAGAGTCTGAAGCAAACTGATCGACTATAGCATAGTGCTTCATAAAAGTCACGTTAGAAGACCATGTTGCCGCTCTGCAAATGTCACGAAAGGACACTCCACTCAGAAAGGCTGAAGTAGTAGCAACTGCCCTAGTTGAATGAGCTCTCAGAAGAGAAGGGAGAGGCTTCCCTCGTTGTGAGTGGCATATGAATATACATGAAACTATCAGTCTCGAATTATGCTGAGAAGTTAGAGGCTGTCCTTTTGAATAGTGCGCTAATGATACCAGCAAACGGTCTGTTTTCCTAAAACCCCGCATTCTGTCAATGTAAAACGCTAAGGATCTTCTCACATCCAACGTATGCAACTGCGCTGCTTGCGTTGAGGTATGGGGTTTTAGAAAGAAACATGGTAAAACTACTGGCTCATTTATGTGAAATTCAGAAGAAACCTGCGGGATAAATGCCGGATGAGTCCTCAATGGAAAAACTGTATATGGAGGTGAGGTCATAAAAGCTGCTCTCTCACTCACTCTGCGAGCCGAAGTGAGGGCTAGGAGAAATAGAAGCTTGACAGTAAATAAGTGTAACGTCACTGTAGCCAAGGGCTCAAAGGGAGGACGAGTCAAAGTTTCTAGGACTAGATCTAAATTCCATAAAGGCGGAGGAGGCCTCCGCTGGCGATGAAGATTCGAGAGCCCCTTCAGAAACCTTTATGTAATAGGGTGAGCGAACAAGGAAACATCCCCATCCTTATGATGGAATGCATTAATTGCTGCCAAGTGTACTCGTGGAGATGCAACTGCCAGGCCATTGTCATGAAGCTGCAAGAGGTATTCCAATATACAAGGTAGGGTTGTGAAACAAGGGTCTACATTGTTATCCGCACACCACGCTTGGTATTTGGACCACTTAGCTGTATAAGCGGTTCGTGTAGACTGTTTTCTACTATGCATCAACACTTGCTTGACTCGCGGAGAACAGGATGGCTTGGAGTTGGTAAACCAACAAGCATCCTGGGGAAGCATGCATGCGTGAGCCGGCGGAGCATGGCTATGAAAAGTCTCTAAGCTGCAGCGCAGGGACGGGACCTGACACCTAGAGTGGAGCACCCATAGGGCCACTCGAAGAAGAAGGCCATTTTCTGATGTGCACACATAGATTTTGCTATTTGTCATCACGCTGAACTGCACCAGATCCATTACAACTGGATTTTCACACCATAGTGCCTTCAGGGTGGGATGCAGACTCATTCTTTAAATATGGACATACAAAATGAGGAATTTATTCCTACCCCCCCTTTTTCCTTTGTCTACTACAGTGTGAAGACTTTTGCCAAAAATGATATTGACTGAAGACAGGATGACCTATATGCTGTATTTGGTGAACTTACAATGGGCCATGAGATTGGCAAACGGCTCTCAATATAGGTGACATGAGTACTCAGACTGTTGGTACTCAGACTGGGATTTAAATGTCCCGCACTTCATTAGCATAATCTCACCAGCACGCTATTCCGATCGCCAGCTGATTCGAACCAGGAAGCGTGCTCCAGGCCGTGTTATTTCAAATCAGACTTCTCAAAATGAGTAACGTTAGTTCAAACCAAGGGGTTTGATTCGAACTAATGTGGCCCGAAGCACGCTTCCTGGTTCGAATCAGCTGGCGATCGGAATAGCGCGTGGGCGAGATTATGGTAATGAAGCGCAGAACATTTAAATCCCCGCTTCATTAGTGATTTCGGTTGCCTACATTTGCATCCCTAGTTCGAACTAGGCTGCAAGTGTAGACGTACCCTAAAGCTCTTACTGCTCTTGTTTTTCAGAGAACATTCCTTAACTCATTCTTTATTTGCTACTAGGGATAATATTTTTTAAACTACAGGTTCTCACCAATTCATATTATCTTAATGGGCAGAGGAATATATCCTGCTTATTTATTTCTAATAAATGTTAAAGAAATATGAAAAAACATGCAAATCTAATCACTTTATGATCAGTTAAACTTAAGAAGAGCTAAATTACTTTTACAAGAAAAATGCATTGCAAACAGATGTACATTTAAGGATATCATAGCCAAATCTCAATTTATCTTCAAGCTTCAGAGTAATGTATGTTTGTTCAGGAATCCTCACTTCATTCACAAATGTCTACAAAATAAAAAGAAGATAGATATAGTTATACAGGCAGTCCCCGGGTTACGTACAAGATAGGGACTGTAGGTTTGTTCTTAAGTTGAATTTGTATGTAAGTCGGAACTGGTACATATTGTAGGGGAAACTCTAGCCAAACATTTCTCCAGAACTCAGTTTTATTCTCCCACACCCTACTTCCCTCAGTCCTTTATTCTCAAGCTAAGGTGTCTGCTGAGAAAAGCCGCTCCGCGTCTCCCTGGTCTGCTGAGGGGGCAGGCGCTAGCTTCGCGTCTCCCTTGTCTGCTGGGGGGAAGCAGCTAGTGCGGGGTTACCTCACCCCGTTTGTAAGTAGGGATCCGATATAAGTCGGATCCATGTAACCCGGGGACTGCCTGTACTTCAAAATGTAAGAAAATTTTTAATACCCATCTAAACCTGAACAAGAAGTTGCAGCACTGAATAAATAATGTTACAGATTAATGATACATGATTGTATTGGTGAATTAAACATTTATGTAGAGCTATTACATGTCTTATGAAGTACTTCAAAAAAGGAAGTGAAATATTAGAGTCAGCTAATCAGAGCGGTATAATTACACTAACCTTGCAAAGCTTATTTCAGTACTATTTTCATCTTCTGTGTAGTGGAATTGTTCATTGAACAATATCCTGTTCCCTCAAAAAAAATTTTCCAGTAGCCTTTTTTATCCAATACAGAGATGTCCAGTTTAGCAGTTATTTAATAATGTTAACTGCCTCTTGATTTTCTTGATACTGTCATCATCCATTCTATTTTATATAGTATGCAACATTGTAATATCTGAGCACCAAGGAAACAATTTTTTAATAATTGCAGAAAAGGTTTAAAAACAACAAAAACAAGAAATGTAGACAACATTAGGTTGTTGGTTTTGATGCATAGACTACTTGCTTTCATAAACAGAATTTGTCCTAACTATGCTGTCTTCACAAAAAAAACATCACCCATTAAGAGGTGTACCAAGCTGCACAAATTCAGAACTTTTAAAGAGCTGATCTAAAGGACTGAGCACCTACATCAATGCCTGGTCACTATGTTGGCAAAGACCAAAAGAGAAAGCAATCCTAACCAAAACCTTTTTTTTATTATTTTTTTTTGCCTGAAGACAGAAACTCCAAAAACTAGTGCTAATGGAAGAATGGCAAATGTGGAAACATAGCACCAGTATATGTGAACATCAATTATTAGACAAAACACATGATTTTGTTTTCATTACTCTTCTTACTGCCATGAGAAAAAGTAGCCTCTTGGAAGATGGGTGAGAAGTACACTTAGAGGAATTAAAAAAAAAAAAGAGGAAAAGAAAGACTTGCATAGCTATATTGCCATAAATTGCTACTTAGCCTCCAATCTAAAATTAAAACTAACATATATCAACTGCTGAGAGTTATATTAAGAATCTGGAAAAATGAATGCATTTAGAAGCTATTATAACTATGGTGAAACTGCACTGTAGCAAAAGCTACAGTATAGTTTACAAGTTGCAATGCAGTTTACCATTCACTCAAAAAGATAATTAACGTATACAGGATCCCATTAGACCTACACAGGTTGAACCTTTGTAAACTGTAATACTCTGCTCCAGCAACATCCATGGTCCAATAGGACATGGGTGTTCCTGGACTAGAGAGCCCCGGCTGCTAGGAGTCTGGCAGCAAGAGAGCTCATCACTGGGAGCCCTACAGTCATCCAGGATAGGGTTGGGGAGCCCGTGAGTGCCTTATCATGGGAAGATAGAGAAGAAGCCACTGTGGGGGATGGAGGGAAGCTTCTACCTTCCCAAAAATTGTCTTTCCACTGGGAGGACTCAAGGGGAAAGGTAGGGTGTGAGTCTGTGTGTGTGCGCGCGCGCGCACACACATGTGCGCACATACAATATCCTCAAAAGGTGAGTGGGAGAAAGGTCCTAGTTCTGCAAGGAATCCTCATGGATTCCAGCACTGCCTCTGGATTGGACCGGTGTATGGGTTGGTTGGTGCCTACATCTGCTTGGTATGCTGGAGTATGGGGACTCTTGTGGATTCCAGGATCATGTTCCCAATGAGGATTCCTTCCAGGAAGGCCATGGGACTGCACCCAATGCACACTCCTGCCAGCTATGACAAGCTGTTGGGGAACCAGGGTCTGGAAGTGGGTACTGCCTATGAGAGAGTGTGGTGCCAGGAACTGGGCATTCAGGGATCTTCACTGAGACTCTGGCAAGTGTAATCTCTGCTTGGGAGACTGATGCTGCTCCAGGGAGCAGTGACAGGAAGTAGGAGAGCAACATTTAGCAACCAGCACCTCGAGCTGAAAACACAGTGCTGGGGCTCAGGTGACTGGTGCTGACCATCCAAGGAATGCCATCTTGAGACACAATTGGAGATGTAAGGGACCACTGTGGGAACCCTAATGCAGGTTTATGCCATTATACACCTGTCTCAGCTGGCTCAGTAACTGCTCATTGTAGGGCATAGGCCATGAGGTCCTTAGCTGCCCGGAAGGCCTCAGGCATGGATGGCGCTCTAAAATGAGGTAAATCTTGTCTGAATGCATGGGGCCGGTCCCATACTGGTTTAGCAGGGTTGCACACCTCTATGGGGACTGTGAGAGGAGTACAACTCACTTTCTAAAGTCTTTTGTATACCCTATGGGCACCGGGGAGCACTCTATATCTGTGTGTTTCTTTTGTCTCTTCCTTGGCACTAGGGACGTTGAACAGTGTCAAGGAGAACACAGTAACGAAAGAGCACTGTGCACTGAAGCAGACATGCTCCATGCTATTTATTGCTGATTTGAGTTGGACACTACAGCTTCCATTAGGATAGCTTTAAGTTTAATTTCCCTTTCATTTTGGGTTTGTAGGCGGATGCCAGTGCAAATCCTATATTTATCATAAACGTGGGCTTCCTCCATACTAATAAACCAGATGGAGTGAGGGTCACTGACCAGCATGGGCTTAGCACACTCCCTATACAGTCTAAAGCCTTGGGACTACAGCATGCCTAATTGCAGGAACAATGTCCCATAAGAAAATTAATAGTGAGAAACTATACAATGCAAAACTGTAACAGCAGCTACTAACAACTATTTACAACTATTCTGCTAAAGCAAAAGCAGGGCCGGCAGCACCTCATGTAACAGTGCATGAATGTGGCACTCCAAAGAGTGCTAGAACCAACTCTACAGATACCACTAGGGGAAAAAAAATTCGGGCAGCACACACACCTAATATGGAATCTACATGAGCCAGCACTCAAAGACAAACTTCATCTATGGAGTAACTACAACAGTAAAGTGAAAATAAAATACTATCCTTTTTGTCAAGAGAAAAATAGAAGGAGGAGTAATAACTGCACTGATACTGACATGTAAACAGTAATGGACAAGGAGAAGCAGAGTCCACTGTGGATTCTATCCCTGACCAAAGGCAGTAGATAAGGATCTGGTAGTGGTGATTAGACTGCATAGTGCTATGTATACATCCCAGTTACAGTGCAAAAGGCACTACTGAAGAAGGTCTCAGATTCCAGGTGCTGGGGGTGCTCTCTCACCTAAGCTGCACACCCACAGGGACATTGCTTGAAGAACCTGAACTCTTACTGGAAATTTTTAAGCACAGATATTCTCCACAAGGAAATGTACACATCTGAGTTATAAAGCATCTTTAGCAGGAGTACATCCACTTTTGTTGTGCATTTTGGAAATACTTTTGTGGCAACGGACACGTCAACAAGCAAAACTGTAAACAGATAACGGGTGTTGCCTCTATATAAGAGCAAGGTACACCCATATCTTGAATACTGAGTACAGATGTAGTCGCCTCAACTCAAAAAAGATATATTGGCATTGGAAAAGGTTCAGAAAAGGGCAACAAAAATGATTAGGGGTTTGGAACGAGTCCTATATGAAGAGAGATGAAAAAGACTGGGACTTTTCAGCTTAGAAAAGAGGAGCCTAAGGGGGGATATGCTAGGGGTCTATAAAATCAAGACACGTGTGGAAAAAGTGAATAAGAAAAAGTTATTTACTTATTCCCACAATAAGAACTAGAGATCACCAAATAAAATCAATAGGCAGCAGGTTTAAAACAAACAAAAGGAAGTTTTTCTTTACTCAGTGTACAGTCAACTTCTGGAACTCCTTGCAGTGAAGGCTAAGACTTTAACAGGGTTCAAAAAGCTAGATAGATTCATGGTAGTTTGGTCCAGCAATGGCTATTAGCCAGGATGGGTAGTAATGGTGTCCTTAGCCTCTGTTTGTCTGGATATGAGTGACAGGAGAGGGATTACGTGAGGATTACCTGTTGTGTTCCCTCCCTCTGTGACATCTGGTATTGGCCACTGTCAGCAGACAGGATACTGAGCTAAATGGACCATTGGTCTGACTTAGTATGGCCATTCTTATATGTTGTTAACCAGAAATTATAGGAATCTCCTGTGGCTTTGATACACAGCCATATGAAAGGCCTGAGCGTAACATATCAGCCACGAGAATCCAATGAGGAAATGATGGAGACTGGAGTGACAGTGAGAAACTTTTTTTGCTTTATCTACTCAAATTTCTTAAGTTTAGATGGGTTGGAGACAGGGATAAGACCTTTGGGATAAAGAAGTAACATGAATAGAAAACAAAATCTTGCAACAAGGAAGGAGGAGTCTCCTCTATAAATCCCAAATAAATGGAGAGACTGGACTTGCTGGAAGACAGCTTTGTTGAAGAGGGACAGGGAAGGCAGGAGGAAATTACAGAAATAAACTATAGTATTTATCCCTGTTTCAGAGTACTTAAATATAACTCATCAATATGTGATATGGACCCAAGCAGATGAAAAAAAAAAAAAAAACAGGCGAGGGAGAAACTAACGTAACTAATGTAATGATCTAGTACTCTGTCCTCAACAAGACAACCCAACAGGCTGATGGAGATTGCCAGACTGCACTGAAAAATGTGCCATGGATGAAAACTACGGAGACGGAGTTCTGTATTCCCCCCCCCCTTTTCCTACAATGGTCAGGCTAGGGAAAGGAGTTTAAATTGCCTATAAACCGAAGTCCTATAAACACCTCAGGCTCCACCAACACAACAAAAGTGGCATCAGCCCCTTACACATTGTGTTCTCTACCCATTTATGTTTGCATGGATGCCACTGGGTTTGGCAACTGCCTCCATAACTTTCCTCACACCTTAGCATGAAGTAGGCTACAAAAATACATTAAATAACTGCAGAGAAGTTGGTTAAGTTATGCCAACTGGGCACATTAAAAAGGGAGCCAAGCAGACAATTACTAATCTAAAAAAATAAAGTAAAAAAGATATCCTACAAATGAGCAAGGATCTGAAATTGTTTGATTTAGTCTTACATTTCTCCTCCCATCATGTTTTGTTCATACTCCTTTTCAGCTTTAGGAACCTGGTCCCTTCAAAGTATCAAAATTGTTACTAGTTCATGTGTGTGTTAGCACATGAATTAAATTAGGTTGTGATGATTTGTACCAAAGTATGCACAATTTTTAGTTCTGTGAAAAGTGCCCAGCAATTTTTGTTGTTTGGCTGAAGCATGACATTCTGATTTCAGTGAAAGTTATGAGCTACAGGCACCAAGTTTAGCAGAAAACAGTGATGTTTAGAAGGAAGAAATGGGTAAAAATGTAAGGACTACATTTATATGACCAAATATTCATATGACCTAATATTTCCTGGATGAGCAATCACAGAATGTCTAAGGCATGATCATGATGCTGGGGAGAACAAAACAAAATATGAAACAGACTATCAGTAAACACATGGGCATTACTGATTTAGTTTGTCATAAAAATTACAGGAATTGAAGTGCAGTGAACAGATAGCAGACCAGCCTGCATTCTCCAGGTGTCACATCTCAAAACACATTTTTTTAAATATACAGTAGAACATCAGAGTTGTGAACATCTGAGTTATGAACTGACCAGTCAGACACACCCTTTATTTGGAACTTGAAATACACAATCAGCCACCACAAAGGCATTAAAAAGGAAATATAGTGCAGTATTGTGTTAAACTACTAAAAGATTCAATTGAAAAAGTGGGTTAAGCCCACAAAAAACTCATATCATCTACGTTTTTTGTCACTCTCTAAGGTGCTGCAAGTCGATTAGTTATTTGTTAAACTTTTACTAAAAGAGGGAAACCAAAAAATATTTGACAAGGGAACAACTGTTTCTGTGCTTATTTCATTTAAATTAAGATAGTTAAAAAAAGCATTTTTCTTCTGTATGGTAAAGTTCCAAAGCTCTATTAAATCAATGTTCAGTTGTAAACTTTTTAAAGAATAACCATAAAATTTTGTTACAAACATTTTAAAGCTGTGAACAGCCACCATTCCCAAGATGTTTGTAACTGAGGTTCTACTTTGAACAGGTTTTACGTAAATGCCACATGCTTTAATTCAGTCACAACTACAGTCTATATAAAGTTCCTATAGTAATGTCTAAAAGGACTATTAAAATATGACAGTCACTAAACTTTAAGATAAACTACTAGAACATACACTAAGATATTTAACACACTTACAAAAATGTGAAAGCTTACCAAGCAGGATGCAAATGTAATCCCTAGAAGTGCCTTAAAATGTAAAAGATCATATGAAGCTTTTTTATGAACAGTTCTGCTCTTGAGAATTTTATTGCCTTTTTACTATATTACACGTTTTCTATCCACTAATTTGACATTTATTATATGATAGTCACGAATAAAATACAAGAAAAAAGAAAAAGTGCCAATGTCGCAAAGAAAAAAAATACAAAAAATTATGAGAAAATAATTTTATATTAAATCAACTATTGAATAATTCTCTCTCTCTCTCTCTCTCTCTCTCTCTCTCACACACACAATCCTTTTTTCCAGAAAAAAGAAAAGAAAAGGGATTCTGATGCATGGAAATATTAACATGGCTAAACACTGTTTCCTACAGTAAGTATACATGCCGCAACACTAAAATTGTAGAGACTGGGATGCCACCTATTAGTATGCTTAAACATTCACCTATTCAACAAAATTGTCGCTTTAGTATTTCTGAAATGCTACAGGCGTACTTTTAGTATTTATATTAACATAGTGCCTAAAATCCCTAGTCTCAGAGTAGGACCTCACTGAGATAAGTGCTGTACAAATACAATTATTTACACCATGTTCATTTTTATTCATCTGAATGTCTTCTACTTCAACTTTAATTTAACACAATCACGCTCTTGTACTACTGCAACATGTGACGTTGTCCCTTTTAAATGTTCCATAGTAGCAGGGAAAAACATTTTCTTTAGCTGTTCTCCCTATTTTCTAATTTGCATTACAAAAACATCATGATTATTTGTTAATTATTTGTTTGTTTTCAAAGAAAAAAAAGATACATTCTATATGACTGAGGACATAATCTTGGATTTAACAACTTACCCCATTTAGGCTGCCCAAATCCTTCACCAAGTGTTCATCTGTAGAGGCATCATAGTTAACTACAGCATGCTGCTTGTCCACACTACGTGACTAAAACATTAAAAAGATTTAAATTAATGGAAGGGGATAATATGAAAGCTATAGATTAAGAGAAAGAGCTACAATTTTTTTCTAACTAACAAGTTATGTATGTTCTATTTACGAACTCTGACTAAGTTTATCTAAGGTAACCGAGTGTATTTGTGTGATTTATTTTCTCAAAGTCTGTATAACAGATTTCACTGTATCATGATCCGGAGTCATATTTTCCAAAATTCTGTCAAACGTAGTCTTAATAGTTTAGATTTAAAACATTTCTGAGCACTTAAAAACCCTTAATGAAATGTAAAACTATCACATTATTCAGCTGGGCTAGAAGTATATTCTGTTGTACCAGGCTTTCACTAAGGATTGCTAGGAGAGCATGGATAAATTATGTGAAAAGAAGGACTAAAATCCTTGTATTTGTGCCAAATACACGTGCCAAATACACATGAACTTAAACCTTCAGAACCAAAGGGCTAGAATACTAACTTATTACATCATCTTCAACAATACACTATGAAAATATTACTTTGCAAAGAAGTTTAATAAATGTGTTCAAGACCAGCAAACCATCTTCTCCCGTACCATTTAGTATACTAGAAAACCAATTTTAAGGTGATTCTTCCAGGAGGAGAGTGTATAGTTTAATTGTCTGAAAAACAAATTATTGTCCCAAATATTTTGTACACTAAAATTGATGGATGGTTTGTTAAATTAAGTTGCATCTGCCTTCCTAAAAGATGTTTGCTAACGATCATTTGGTGTACTTACAGAACTTCAATTTTGAAACTAACAAGGAAACCTCATAAATGCTAATAAATGGCATTTGTGTCCACTGTTGCAAGAGAATACACATACATTTCATTTAGCCATACACCTGCCTCCCATAGTGCAGAATGTGAGATATCATTCACTGAACAAAACAACATGATGTATTTAGGAGAGCATTGAGGCAGGTGAGTAAATAATTTTTTTCTTGAGTTAAGCAGCATTGCAAAGAAACAGAAGGAATAAGTCATTTTTAATTTCCAGCTTCTGATTGGAAAGATTAGCATAACTAGATGGGTAAGTATTGGTCCTGAGAATGTTTGTTGGCTGAAAAATATTCAAATATCATTTTCTGTACTTCAGTTTATATTGTTCACGGCTATGAGGCAATATATATTTCCCCCAGACTGCTGTTTCTGCATTAGTACTAATATCTATAAAGAAATATCAAAATTTGAAACAAGTATTTTTAGTTGTATATTATAAATATATGTAGGAAAATATATTTCTATAATTAGCAAACATGTAAAATTTTTAAAAAGCAGGACACTTGACCAATGTTCCCTCTAACATTTTCTATCCTTGGGCGAGTTAAATTTTCTTTTGGGCGGGTTGAATTTTCTTATGTGCACCACCAATACAAATAACACACACACAAATATATATAAACATAAAACACACACATATACCATGTATACATATATTTTAAGCAGTCCATATGGGTGGAATAAAATGTATTAAAAACAAGACACCTGTATCTAGTGTTGTACCAAATAAAAGCAAGCAGGATCTTATGAGGGGGATAAGGCAAAAAGCCACATTTATTGTAAAGATAATAATAAAAAATAAAGAAAAGATAGAAGCAAACAACGTTGTTTAACTACTTATTCCTAACACTACTTAACCCTTATACACTTATATATATATATAAACCATTCATTCATACATCCATTCATTCAAGTTCTGTGTATAGTTACCAGCCTGGAAGTTGCTTGTGACAGGATACTGGCCAGGTACTCTGTACACAAGTGATGGTAGTGGGGAGCGAAGTCCTGATCAGATGCGCATCTGAAGCTCCTGGTAGGCTGGCAGCAGAACCTTGGACTCTGATTCCATAGTTTTTTAGTCCAGTTCTTATAGGAATTTCTTCCTATGCCAGTCTATGGAAATTGCTGCATCATGCTGATGTCTCCAGGGTGGCTGCCAGGTGCTCATCAGTGATCTCATCGGGTGGACCTCCAGTTTCTCCACTTGACACCTTTTGGTTGCACTGGCACCTGACGCCTTCTTCAGCCCTTTGTTGCTGTATTCTCAGGCTGGCACCTCTCAGAACCATTCACTCATCATCCAAGCACTCTCTCATACATTCATACAGTATTTTGTATAATAATAAAAGTTGTAGTTACAGAAAGTTTCTGGGTGGTATTGCTTAAAACATTCTCTGAGTGCTGAATAAAGTTACAATGTTTTAAAGAGAACAGGCCTCAATTAAGTAACAATGGCCTTAGTCAATTACAGGGCTTGGCTCCCATAGCAGAGTTAGTGGCTTGACAATGCATTGTTACAATGTATCTCTGCAATGTCAATTTCAAGCAGCCCCTTGCACAAGCTTGAGCATGCCCTGGAGCACAGAGGGGGGGAGGGGGCTGTTTCTGGCTACATAGGATTATATTCTTAACAGTTAGGATTATATTTTTAACAGTTCTAAGTTACATGACCTAATACATTATATTCTAAAGGGACAATAATAATAATAAATCTAAACATTTAACAATCTTAACAAATAATAATAATAAGAAGAAGAATCCTAATAAATCTAAACACTTTAAGTTGTGGGGAACAAATTATGGGGAGTCACTTCCATTTGGAGGAATCATTTTACATTAATATGTTATCCCTACACTAGTTGCTGTGAGATATCCTTAGTGACTACAAAGGTGCTGTATAAAGGTAGGGAATTAGCCTTCTTTCACTGGAGGAAGAATAGAAAACCCGGAACAAATTAACACATAGCTTCAGGGTTTGTAGACATTTACATGTTTCAAAGAGCTTGCAAATATGGTTTCATCCTTCAAAACAGCTAGCATCACACTTAATACTTCTGACTTAGAAAAGCCAGAACTCTACCGGAGAGCAAAGATCTGGCCTTAATGCAATACAATTTACCATGTATTAATTAGTAACACAGGATTTAAAAAAAAACAAAACCACACAACAACAACAAAAAACACATTAAGTTCAGAGTTTAGATTTCTGCAACACTCCAAAAAGTTCTGTTAAAAGAATTAAACAACAAATAGTACTGCAGTATCTTAGAACTATTCACTGTTTTTAAAATATTTTTTTCAGATACACACTAACTTGGCTACCCATTTGAAACTCTTAAGAGCCTTTTCTTTCTTAAACTATTAACACCTATATGTAAACTTCATTTGAAATGTAATCATACAAATGTCCTAACACACACACCCATATACACACCAGGCTGTCCCTCTCCACTCCTCCCCTACAAACCAGCCTAACAGAGGACTGCAGTTTGTCAAATACCCCAAACTGCCCCTTGCCTCCACCTCACTGCATAGATGTCAGCACTCAATCATTCCCTCCTCCCCTGTCCCCTTTACCAACCCCTTCCCAGCCCAGGGGGACTGAAGAGTGTGCTGGCTTTCTGGATCTCTCTCTTTCTCTCAGTCTCTCTCCTCTGGCAGAGGGGACTTTCCCCCAAGCCAATTAATTACTCCATCCCTCCCTCCCAGCCACCCATTCCCTACTTACTGCCACTGGCTGATTGTCCTCCTTTTCAAGCACAAGACAGGAAGCATTTAGCTGCTAATTATGCCCAGTCCCCGCTGATCAGCTGACCTCCCTGCCTGCATGGGGAGCTTTGAAAAGCCCTCCGGACCGGGCTCAGAACTTAGCTGTGTGGCCGCTTGGCCATGCAGCTTAGAGGGAACTTTGCACTTGACTATGTTTTTACTATTATATATGTGACTTGCACCTGTTACTTTGAATTGTGTAAGATAAGTTCTCAGATTTTGAGACATATTTAGATGTTGGAAACTCTACTTGTTCTTAATACATTAATGTCTTACAAAAAACAGAGACCCCCCCCAATTGACAACCAAAAAACTTGACTCATGGCTATGGTATAAACAAAGTTATTGAGCTTTTCTCATTTTACAGCCTTCCATTATTGATCTCTTCCAAGCCATTCATTGTGCCACAATCATTTACAAGTAGATCCCGCTGAAAATAAAAGTCATATGAAAGTCTTATGAAAGCAGTGCTGTTGTAGCCATCTTGGTGTTTCTTTAAAATTTGGAAATTTACCATTCTTTGGGCATGTCTAGACTACATCCCACTTTTGAAAGAGGGATGTAAATTAGACAGATTGAAATTGCAAATGAAGCTGGGATTTGAATTTCCCATGCTTCATTTGCATAATGGCGGCCGCGTGTTCTTTCGAAAAAGGGCTTTTCGAAAGCGAAACCGCTGTCTAGACGTGGTTCTTTCAGAAAAAAACAACTCTTTTTCTAAAGATTCTGTAGTCCTCATTTTTTGGAAAAGGTTTTATCTCCCCCAAAAGAACTGCATCAAGACAGCAGTTTCACTTTCGAAAAGCCCTTTTTTGAAAGAACGTGCGGCTGCTATTATGCCAATGAAGCGCAGGAAATTCAAATCCCGGCCTCATTTGCAATTTCAATCTGTCTAATCTACATCCTTCTTTCAAAAGAGGGATGTAGTCTAGACATGCTCTTTGACTCTTGTGATATTCTATTTACTTGTGCAGTGCACGCAGAGCAATTGCATGTGCTTGGTACAGACTTATAAAATTAGGCTTTTCAGACTTCGGTAATCCTAGAGTGTGAAATCATTATGCAACTGACTTGACATCTATGGCCTTTGAACTTGAGTGTACTGTAGTTTTATATCATTACCAATTACTATCCATCACACCAGATAGCTAAACATTACAATAGGCAGTTGCACAAAACATACAACAAGGTTAGACAAGTTGCTGGTTGCCTTCATGTTCCAATTTTAAATCTCCAATATATTTTCATATTTCTTCTGACTCAAAAGAGATAAGCATATATGAATTCCAGGCCAGAGTTAATCATGAACAGGTTTTGTTATTATTTAAGAATTGACCTTCAACAGATTTCTTCAGAGGCAGAGATTCTTAAATTAAGGATTCTTCAAAGACTTCTTTCTCAGATAACTCTATGGTATTTCCT